TGGTTTCCTTTATGTTAAAGTTCTATTGGAGTTTTTTGCTGATTGAGAAGATGTTATATGTTTTCCATTCCTCGGGAATTATTTCGTTTTGCAGAATTTGATTGAAGAGATCACATAAAGTAGGGGTTATTGCTTTTTTGGTTTTTTTGATCATGAGATATGTTATGTTTGAAGGGCCTAGTGCTTTATTCATTGGCAGTTCATCGATTGTTTTGGAGATTTCATATTCAGTTATTGGGTTTAGCAGATTGGAATACCATTCAGGTAGAATAGAAGAAATTGGATTATAATTTTCTTTCCATTTTTCCATTAGCGAAAGATGTATTTGTCTTTTGCGGAAGATGGTTTTGTAGTGTTCTTCTATAGTTGAATGTATTTCTGTAGGGTCAAAGATAATTTCATCCTTTTCAGGAATAATGAGTTTGTTGAAATTTGTAGGGGGATTTTTGTGATTTAGAATATTTTGTATTATGGATTTGGGGTTGTTTTGTAGATTATTAATACGTTTATTGATAAGTTTGGTAATTTCTTCCTTGGTTTGAAGTTGGTTTTCAAGTTTGAGGGCTTTGTATATCAGTTTGAAGAGTTTTGAGAGAGATTGAATTGATTGAAGATTTTTGGAGTGAGGAAGAGAGTGGGTTTTTAATTCGTTAATTATTAGGTTGTTAGTTGGAGAGTCAATAAAGGCATTTTTTTTGAGATAAGTGATTTGGTATTTAATTTCTTGGAGGAGATTGTGTAATGAAGAGCCTTGTTCAGAGAAAATATTTTTTAGAGATTGGGTTGGGATTTTTTTTGAGGGTAGTTTTTCAAGTATATGTTTTTTAAATTTTTTGTGAAAATAAGTCCATGAGTAACTTGTTAAATTTATGTTAAAATTTGATAGTTTGTTTTGAAGATTTGATTCAAGTGATTCCCATTGGTTATCAGTTAGAGTGTTGGTTAAGTATATTTTACATTTTTTTCCATTGTTTGATTGTTTATTATGATGTAGTTCTAGTGTTATTTTGGTTATTTTATGATCGCTTTGAAAATCTGCTTCGGTTGGATAGATATTTGAGCTTTGAAGGAGATGTAAAAGATCATTGGTAATCCATATTTGATCGATTCTGGTTTTATTGGTAGGACTAGTATGTGTATATATTTTAGAGTTTGGATAAAAGATTCGAAAGGTATCAGAGTAGTTGTTTAGTTGATTATAAATTTTTGAAGGATGAAAGTTTGTGGGGTTTTCTCGGTCAATTTTTTTAGGAGTAGAGTTGAAATCTCCCATAATTATGTGTGAAATATTGTTTTTTTGATTTTCCTTAATTGTTTTTGTAATATGTTTAATTACTTCATTGCGGATAGAACTTGAGTGAGGAAGGTAGATTTGGGAGATACATAGTTTGATTTTCGGTTTAAATTGGAAATAGGTAGAGGTTACATATCCTTCAAAGGTGATAGTTTTGTAAAGATGTTTAAATAAATTGTTGTGGATTATGATGCAGGTTCCTGCTTGGCTTTTGTCCTTATGATTGCTCCAATGGATATGGTATTCATGAATTTTTTTTGTAGGATTATGTGTTTGTTGTAATTTGGTCTCTAAGAGCCCAAAAATGTTAAAGTTTTCTTGTGAGATGTGTTTTAATAAACATTTGAGTTTAGTTTCGTCATTGATTCCTCTTATGTTTAATGAACCAATGTTAAGAAGTTGATGAGATTGTTGGGAGGTAGTTGGGGTTGATGATAAGGTAAAAATTTTTTTGATGGAAAAGTTGTTTAGGAAATGGGAAGAAGAAGAAGTGTAGGTTGTTGGATTGGAAGAATGTAAAGAGTTTATTGATGAAGAAGAAAAAGAAGTAGATTGATCTGAAAATGAATATTCAACAATATTTTGATATTGATTTGTATATAAATTGGTGTTATTCATTAAAAGAATTTAAAAAAGTAGATTGAGGGTTCAGGAAGTTCTATTTGTGTGATATATTTATTTGGTAATCTGTGAAAACTAAAGTGTTCTCTGAGTTTGTGGATTTTAGTAATGAAATTGGCATCATTGATAATTGAAAATTCAATTTGTATATGTTTTTCTTTAAGAAATTTTTTCAGTTCAATAGGATTGGGAAGGGAGGGTTTTGTTGGAATTTGAATCCAACTGTCAGGAATCCTTGAGAATTGATAGAACTGGTGAGCTTTGATAACATTAGAACGAACTTCAACTTTTTTGGTGACTGGAAAGTTAGTTCCTGCTTTTTCATTTACTTCATGAAAATCATTTGGGAGTACGGGTTTTGTTGGGATAGGTTGTTCATTGTCATTTGTGTTGTTACTTTGAGATTGAGTTGAAATTTGACGTGGAGGAAGATTGATCCACTCTTTGGAGAGTGGGCTGGTAAAGATGTATTTTTTTGCTAATGTGCTGAGAAGAAGTGGAATATCTTTAGGATCTGTAACTGGAAGAAGAATATTGATTTCCAGTGTGGCTTCAGCAGGAGAGGAAGGAAGTTTTGTTCTAATAAAAAAGAAGTCATTGGGTAAAAATTTGAAGTAATAGGTTTTTCTGAATAAGGTTATGATTTCCTGTAAAGTGTAGTTGCTATCCCTTGGATTGAAGGGAATAAATGTTTAAATTTGGGATCAAGAAGCTGATAAGTTGTAGAAAGAGGTTTTTTCAGTAGAGGAAGATTGAAATATGAGTCAGGTAATTTAGAGAGGACTTTGTATTCTTCACGGAGGAAATTTTTGTAATTGGAAAGATTGTTGAGATCACTTCTTTTTTTAATGGGGAAGATGTCCCTATATTTAATTAATAAATCATTTGGGTTTTCTGGAAGTGAAGGGTTTTCCTTGAAGTAAGTATCAGGGAGTTTGTCAAATTTATAGTGGGATCCTAAGATACGAAGGGTTGCAATTAAATTGGCTTTGTTTGTCATTGGAAGTTTTGTAGGAAGTTTGATTTTGATTTGGGATGGGATTTCAGAAGGTTCAGATGAAAGATTAGGAAGAGAATCGACGAGATGTTTTTTAAGTTCATCTCTAATTGTGGTGTAGTCAAGAGTGAAGGTTGGTTTTTTGATGAAATAATTGATGAGATAGGTGAGAAGACTTGCTAGTTCATAGTAGGGCATGCTTTTGATATCAATGGTGCGTAAATAAATGATTGATAAGATAGTACAGATTATAGCACGGATCTTTTTTTTTGTTTCAAAATTAATAAAATGTAAGTTATTTTCTCTTTTGTATTTGTCCTGGAAGTCTTTTTCAATTTCGATAAATTTCTTTTGGTGGGCTGGCATGAGGTTTTCTTTTTGGGTGAAAGAACTGAAGAAAGTACGGTCCTTAAAACTGACTTTATTCATTATTGCTTTTAGATGATAGGGTTGGTATTTGGGAAGTTTAATAATAGTGTCAATGGTTTTAATAATGATTTGTATATCATTTGATACACGGAGGAGATTGTTGACTAGTTTCTCAGTATCAGTTCTAAGGGTTTCATATTGTTTATTATCTCTGATTTCTTGTAGTTCTGTTTGAACTTGTTGTTCAAAAGAAGATGATCAGGCATATGGTGTAGTTTTAGGTTGTGAAGAGGACTCAGCAAGTTTGTCAAGATCAACGATTTCATCAATTATCATAAAATTTGATTGGCTTGTGGAAAGGATTTCACTAATATCCATACTAAAGTTAGAAGTTGTCGTGTGATCACCAGAAGAGGAAGTTGTAGTAGTTTTTGTTTAATCGGTTTGTTTGGGTTTAACAGGGTCCAGATCAGATAATTTCATTGGTATATCCATTGTTGCGCTGATTTCTGTGAAATTACTAGATTGGGTGGGGATTGGATTGATAGACAAGGGGTTTGCATGTGTATGCATTGTGTTTGTTTGATCAGTATTCCTTTTTTGGGAGACAAGAGAAGTGATAGATGGGTGATCTTTTTCAGGGATAAGCTGGTTGGGGTTTTTGGTTATTCCTTGAGAGATAGAGAGAAATTCTTGAAGACGGTTGTAGAGTTCAGTGTTTAGTTGGGTTTTTCCATTTTATCCACAATATTACTGATGTACTGGAAGTTGAGAGGTATATTTCTAGTGTTGGAGAGAAAGATATGGGTTTGGGAAATCCTGCCTTGATTTCCCCTTTTACTGATCTCTATTGTAAAGTTGAGAATGCGGATGTCATTTGTCGAGCCTGTTTTCACGATTTCTTCAATGTTTTTCCCTTCTTTTATGATGAGGAATTGATTGGGAAAGTTTGTCAGGTTGGAAATGAGAAGGTTTCTTGCAAATTCTGTTTTGATAATTTGGTTATTACTGAGGTCGAGATAGAAAATTTGAAAGAGTTGATTTCAATCCTGGTGAATTGTTGCATATAAGAACTGTTTTTTGTTGTTGTTAGTTATGGAGCGCTCCATGGTAGGAGTTATTTAATAGTTGCGAGCACTTGAAAGTGCTTGGGGAGTAAAGGTTTCTTGGAAGGACTATTACCAAATAAGGAAATTTTCAAGTAAAAAATGATTTACAATTTAAAGCTTAAATTTATAGATTATATACATTATTATAATAATAAATTATTAAAAATAAATTAATAATTAATAAAGTTATAAATTTGATAAAAGTTATTAAATTTTCAATTTTTTATTATCATTTTTTTTATAATTATTAATTTAAATTAAATAATTTTATATTTATTAAGTTTTTTTAATTAAAATTCTATAATAACAATATATGTTTTTATAAAAAAATTAATAAAATTAATAAAAATTTTGTTATAATTAATTAGGGTATAAAATTAATTTAGGGGATAAAAATAATTGATATTCTTATAAAGGGGGATGACAAAATTATTGCGACACACAATAAATGCGAAATGCTAGTTATTTTGTGTTTATATGTTTTCTTTTTTTGTTACACAGATCATCTTTATGTTTTTTTTATTTAAATAATTCTATCGATTTTACTAATTTTACTGTATATCCACCACCCACCTGTACCCTCCCACACATACCCTGTCCGATCTTCGAGATGTTGACTGATAATCAACGAGGAGGAATTATTGCCGGTTACTACCTTGGACATTCATGTCGTGCTATCGCCAAAGTTGTCGGGTGTCACCATTCTTCGGTCATGAGGTTTCTTCTTCTCTATAAAAATGTTAATAATGTCTCTAAAAAGAAAAGAAGAACGAAAGAAAAAAAAAAAAACAGCAATCCAGTTGGCCACCTGCCATTGATTAGCAAAGCCCGCCAATGACATCTTAAACAATTTGTTACCACGAAACGTCGCCGTTTTCTTTCCAGCAACGAACTTCGCATAGAATGGGAAAAAAAAGAAGGTTACCAGTTGCACACTAAAACTTTAGTCCGTACAATTCATAAAGTTGGGCTTTATTCTCGTGTCGCTCACCGGAAACCTCTTCTCACTGATGAAAATAAGGCTAAACGGCTTACTTGGTGTCTAGAACATCAGAATTGGTCACTTGCAAAGTGGCAATGGGTCTATTGGACCGACGAGAAGTTTTTCACTCAATTTCGTACACATTCACATCTGCGTGTATGGCGTAAGCAAGGGGTAGGTCAAGAATTCGATCCAAATTGTGTTACAGCGAGGGTTTCGAAAAGTGTTGGTAAGATGGTGTGGGCGGGATTTTCGTGGAAAGGACTTGGACCACTTGTGGCCCACAATGGAAAAGTTACTGGACAAATACACTCTAATCTACTCAAAAATCATGCGATTCCATCATTTTGATCACAGTTTCCTCGTGGAAGCAGATTTTTTCAGCAAGACAATGCTCGGGTACACACTGCGCAAGTGGTGCAAGATGAACTCATTAAAGAGAATATTAAAATACTTGCCTGGCCTGCTAGAAGCCCCGACTTGAATCCCATCGAGAACCTTTGGTTTATAATCGAAAATAACTTACGAAAACGGCGACCATTTCCTACTAATCTTGCGCAATTAGAAAAAATGATACACGATGAATGGGAAGCAATTCCTTTAGATTTTTTGCACCGTCTCGTTAACAGCTTACCCCGTTGTATTGAAGCAGTGATTGAGGCAAAAGGTGGTGTAACTAAATATTAAAAAAAATTGGTAAATTGTGATGATGTAAATAGAAAAAAAATGTTAAATAAAGTGTC